TGTGTAAGTTTTGTTAAAGCATCTATTTGCTTGAAAGTATAGCTTGAGAATATAGAGAGAGAACCTGTTCAATTTGGCTTAACTACATGACAGAGTAGAACAAGAAATGTATGAGTTGATGTGTCTAATAGCCTCTCCTTAGTGCATATTTCATTTTCAAAGGGTATTGCTGCATCTTTTGGCAATGAAATGTCTTTGATATGGAAACTGAGGAGTGAAGCTTTTTTTTTCATCTGCAAATTCCAATTCTTAAGGGAAACACATTACTTTATCTGCTTGTTACTTTTTTTGTGCAGGATTTTTGACAGAAATAATCTGACTGGCAGCATTCCTTCTACACTTGGACTTGTGCAGTCTCTGCAGGCAGTGTGAGTATTTATTTCATATCCTCAAAGTAGATTTATTCCAAGGTTTTTGCTGCTGGATTTCGACCTCTGTAAAGTTGTTTGTACTGAATATCTTCTTCTGGTACAGACGCCTTGATAGGAATTCTTTAAATGGGTCCGTACCTTCAAACCTCAAAAATCTTTCTAACATCGCTGAACTGTAAGCATACAGCATACCAAGTCAATGATTTATATGGAAACTTTTGAACATATTGTTCGGAGTTCACTTTACTAAGAGAGGCTAATATTAATATGGTTTCAGGCACTTGTCCAACAATCAGCTGACTGGCCCCGTGCCCAACCTTACTAACCTGAATAGCCTAAGCTATGTGTAAGTATGAACCACGTTACTGATTTATTAATTCTATCTGTTCACGCATTGTACTTTCCAATAAAATATGAGAATTATGTCACTTTTTCCCGTGAAGAAAATGGTTACAATCATATTTTTCTACGAAATTTGAAAACCATATTCACCATTGTTGATATCACTTTGTGGTCCTTGACTGAATTTGATCTGCAGGGACATGAGCAACAATACTTTTAATGTATCAGATGTTCCTAGTTGGTTTTCGACATTGCAGAGTTTGACGACATTGTATGTTTCATTCCTCGTCCATATACCTCTGTGTGTGTGAGTGTGTATCTGTTTGCACTTCGAGTTGAAGTGCATGTAACTGCATTTTAAACATCATCGAGCTAAAGAGAAAAGTTTATTGCTTCAAATTAATGTGCCTTTCAATCCTGAATGGCAGAATGATGGAAAACACGGGACTTCAGGGAGAAGTTCCTCAAGCTCTATTCAGCAATTACAATTTGGAGACACTGTGAGTATCTTACTGATCTCTAATAGAACCACACTTAATTTCATGAATCTAAGCGGCTTTGATTTTGAACATGGACTCTGTTCCAAAGAAGAGAATGTAAAACAAGGCTTGTAGTACTCTCTTTATATTTCGTGGTATAGTTGCAGTGATAGTTGTGAAATGATTATTCTAATCTGTGACAGGGTACTGAGGAACAACAAGATCAATGGTTTATTGGATCTCGAAACCATTTCTAGCCACCATTTGCAACTGATTGATATGGAAAAGAACTTCATTACTGACCTTAAACCAAGTGCTGGAGGATCCAACTATACATTAATGTAAGCATTAGTGGTCATTCATATTTGTAGTTTCTTTCTTTTCGGTGTTAAGAATTTCGGAAGATCAAATTTCCAAAAGATATACCTAGTTCTTATCTGTCATGTCGTCCATTATCTGTTGCAGACTCGTTGATAATCCGATTTGTGAGGGAACAAACATGGCAAATAACTACTGCATTGTGTCTCCATCAAATTCCTCAAATTTGATACCACCAAGTAACTGTTCCTCTGTTGCCTGTAGTCCGGGCCAGGTTTCTTCCCCGAACTGTAAATGTGCATATCCTTACACAGGAACTCTAGTCTTCATATTTGTTTCTTTCTCCAATTTGGGAAACTTTAGTTACTACACAGCTCTTCAAGACTCGCTCGTAGGAACCTTTCGGTCCTATAACCTTCCTGTGGAATCAGTTGCTCTCGGTTATCCTACCTTTGGCTCATCTTATCACCTTGAACTGTTCATACAAGTCTTCCCATCTGGTCAAGATCGCTTCAACCAAACAGTAGCGTCAGCGATTGCATCTGTGATTAGCAACCAGACTCTTTCGCGTCCACCTTTTTTTGGACCCTACTCTGCTGTTTTTCCTTATGGCAACTCAGGAGGAGGTGGTAAGTCTGAAACCACAATGAATTTGGAAATATTAGTTGTAGTTCTGCTTCAAAAAGTGGAAATGTTAACTCAATTTTATAATTGATGACACGTCTCTCTTTCCATTTCTCATCATTTTGAGGTGCCTGCAGGATCAAAAAAAGGCTTGATAATTGGTGCAGCAGTTGGTGGTTCTGTGCTTCTGTTATTATTAGCCCTTGTAGGGGTTTATGCTCTCCAACAAAAGAGAAGAGCAGATGAGCGATGGAGCAGATCAATCCCTTTGGTAAGATGTAGTTCATCAATAACTCAAAAAATGGTCAAGAAAAATTTAAAGTACACGCAGCAAATTATGTTTCATCGTGCGAGCATGAGTTAATTATTGTGTTCAATGTCTTACAATGCAACAGTCTGGGATTTCAAATAGCAGTGCCAGTGCTCCTCGTTTAAAAGGAGCAAGATTGTTCTCTTTTGAAGAACTTCAGAAATACACCAATGGTTTTTCAGAAGCCAATGATGTTGGAGCTGGTGGTTATGGAAAGGTTAACTTTGTTTGATTATCTTTCATTATCATAGAGATTATTTCCTGAAAGTGTGAGTCCACCATGTTACCTTGCCTAGCAACATATCAGTGCTTTATTTTCACCAACTCCATAATACGGTGATCTAATTGCCAGAAACCATATGCCATTCATTTGTTTGTTATATTCACCACAAGAGTGCTTTTATTCCAACCCTATCTTGCTCACCTCACCACAGTTTCATTTTATTTTCATTTTGAAGTCAGATTATGCAGATATCCTAGCTCTCAGTAATCCAAAGAAAAACTCATAATCCCTAATTCTGACTTTCTTTTGGCTAGCTATAAACAGCTTGTGGCATTGACCGGCACAAGACATGACACCCAAGACTGTGTCATGGTCATTGCTTCCATTGCAGCAAGAAACACAGACTTTTGCTCTTCATATATATATATTTTTTTTGTAAATACTTTTGTAAGTTTAGGAATAAGGAAGTTTATGATTAAAAGTTTCATTAGAATGGTGTGGGAATGACGAGTATGAGGTAGGAATAAAAGCAAATACCTCTTTTTTCTTTATGATAAAATGTTTATGATGCTTCAGGCTTGCCATGTATCTCATCTATAGCCTCACCACTGAACTCCAATCCTCAAAACTGCAACTCCCTTCAACAGACTCCACGAAATGATATATGAAGAATAACTCATTACAATGAAAACAATTACAGTCGCTAGACAGTTACAAATGTATAATTTGGCAACATTTTACAGGTGTATCGGGGAATTCTTCCGACAGGCCAAATGGTTGCGATTAAAAGAGCTAAAAGGGATTCTATGCAGGGAGGGCCTGAATTCACAGCTGAGGTTGAGCTTCTATCAAGAGTACATCATAAGAATCTTGTCAGCCTTGTTGGTTTCTGTTTGGAGCAAGGGGAACAAATCTTGGTATATGAGTACGTTCCAAATGGTGATTTGTTGGATAGTCTTTCAGGTATTCCATGCAGCTCTTCACCTTGAAATTTTTATTCTTTTTAAAGCTGAAACACTTGTTCATCATTTTTCTTTAAATATGTAATAATTATACATTAGAAAATTGATTATGCAGGGAAGTCAGGAATCAGGTTGGACTGGTTGAGGAGACTTAAAATAATTCTTGGTGCAGCAAAGGGTCTGGCCTATCTCCATGAACTTGCAAACCCTCCGATTATACACCGAGACATTAAATCAAACAATATACTTCTTGATAAAGATTTAACTGCAAAGGTTGCTGACTTTGGCCTCTCCAAGTCTATGGCTGATAGTGGAACTGATCATGTGACTACTCAAGTTAAAGGAACAATGGTCAGTATTGAAAGCTTCCCACCCCTCTACTAAAAATAATGCACTTTTTCCATATCAACTATTAAGGGTAATAGTGTTCTTCAAGCAATGAAGACTAAAGGCCTGTGTTTGTCACAATATCATCCTAATTATGACTGAGTATTTAATGTTCTTTATTGTTATAGGGCTACTTGGATCCTGAATATTACATGACTCAACAGTTGACGGAAAAGAGTGATGTTTATAGCTTCGGCGTGGTAATGTTGGAGCTGATAACTGCTAGAAGGCCAATAGAGCAAGGGAAGTATATAGTGAGAGTGGTGCAGATGGCAATGGATAAGACAAAAGATCTGTACAACCTTCAAGAAGTTCTTGACCCATATATTGGTTTGGGAACAGAGCTAAAAGGATTAGAAATTTTTGTTGATTTGGCAATGTCTTGCGTGGAAGAATCACAGGATAAAAGGCCTAGAATGGGAGAAGTGGTGAAAGTGATTGAGAAAATAACACAGCTTGCTGCTTTGAACAACTCAACATCCAGTTCAGCAAGTTATGAGGATGTGAGTAGGGATGATTTGCTACCATCTGCACAGCGGTCACGTCCCTGATTATACTCGTATTGCATATCAGCCTGTCTAAACGCTTTGGTTAGAATTTGTCTTGAATCTGATATTGTATCAGTATCATATGACCAATATGTATATTATTAGATTCAACTAGAAAAACAAGCCCAGGCATTAAGTAACATTTATTCTCCATTACACAGAGCTTCTTGTTGTTGCTTAAACAATTTAGAAAAAGAAAACTGGTAAATCGTTTCAAAAGCGGGCATTTTAAATAGGGTTGGAATAATATTTCTGAAGAATTTCATAACTTTCCCAATTGAATCATTTTATACAGCTTTGCTTTGCTTGTAGAAATATAAGTAAACAGCTCTGATCAACCAAGTGAAACCAAACAGTATAGATGGATAAAAAAAAATGTTATTGAATTGACTAAAACGTTAATTACAAAAGAATTTACGAATACAGTACTTGCAATTGTTGCACAAACAATACAACAGAAAAACAAAACCAAAAGGAAAAGTGGTAATTTAATTGATCATATGGAGACATTAATTATCAGTCTATCATATGACCATTATGGACTTGTGTGACCAATTGCACACGTCAATGCCAATGTCAATATTGTTGCCCTTAGTTGCTTCAGCACCAACAGTAGCACAGCTCTCTTGGTTAGAGGAGTAGTTGGTGCAAGGATGGGTATAGATATGAACCAAACGGCTGTGTTGTGAAAGATTACTGGGGATCATCATCGTCAAACGGACTCATTTCGAACACATGATCGTCAAGCTGCAAGTAGTCTGGCTCTGACATATTGATTTGGGCAATTTGATCATCAATGTCAAGATATTCATGGCTTGTTTCTTCACTTGTCCCAAATCCAATGTCAGCTGTGACTTCAATAATCTCGGAGCCGGTAGCGATCCCTTGGGAAGTCTCATGATCTGTATATGTTGTATTCCCCATTTCTTCCCTCTCTGCACACAGTAGCATGCTTGAATATGATTGCATTTGGGGTGTGGTGTTGTTATCAATAATAGTAGGGCCGTCCAAATATGAGAAAGCGATATTCAGGGCTTCATCAAAATCGTCACCCAATAATTGGTTGTCATCAATTATCTCAGGTTGATGGTTTGACTGAGAGAGACCAATTGGGTTTGTAACGAACTCTGGCTCAAGACTAGTGAGGCCAATTGGATCATGGCCATCAATATTAATCTTTTGAATCTTGCTTTTGGATTCTACTGGAGCATCATCAATACCATGATCCTCTGCGGCAGATTTAAATTTTCTCTTCCTTTCATTCTTATGAAGCTTCTGGTCGTTCTTTCGAATCCGGCACAACACCAATTGATCGCCATCATCATCACTAGCCCTGGAATTTTTGGATTTGGGCATGGAAGGATAGTCTTTAAGACTATATTCATGCATAATCCAACAACCATTCTGATCAGATTTAGGGTTTTTATAATGAAACCTCCTCGAGAACCCCAAAACCTTCTGCTCATTCTTAGGATCAAGGACTTTGGCAGAGTTCTCTCCATGCCAGCAGCCATTTCCAGCCTTCCGAGACACACGGGTGCCTTTGGTCTTCAACGTGGTGAAGAAATACAAGTCTTCACCAATCTCTAAGCCATCTCCACCAAAATCCTTCCAAATTTTCCAGGGTTCAGAGGTGCCATAAAGATTGATCTTTGGCACCTCATACTTCATTGGCTTTCCAGAAACCTTGTTGTGCAGATAATAGCCCAACAAGTCAGAATCTTTGGGATGAAAATAAAAACCTACCGGAAGATCAACAGCACAAGGGCCCATGGTTATTTCTCTCTCGGAAAGCAAGCAGCTTTCTCTTTAATTCTCCGATTCTGCAATTGATTTTATGGGTTTTCTTTCTTTAATCAAATATGAAGAATTTATCTCTGAGTTTCTTTGGATTTGATTGAAAAGTACAGAGAATTAATCTCTGTTTCTTCTTTGAGGAGAGCTGAGAGATCATCAAAAGGCACTTGAAGTGTTGGTTGGAATGGCGAGTGTTGTGAGTGAGTTAATCGTTGACTCCCCTCAGTATATATACAATATATAAAATATGACCGTTGCTGGAGTTTCCAATTCTAATCAGGATTTACTGTTGTGTTGCTTTACGCCACCGTCTCGCTTGATTTGTGTTGCTCTCTTCTCGACCATGGATTCACAAAAGACAAAAAGAACAAAAAAAGGGTTCCGTGTATTTGTTTTAATTTTTGTATAGATTATTAATGAAATTTCTCTATTTTGACTTTTCTTCAAGGAAAGTAATTTCTTTGTACTTAATTTTTTTCTGTGTAAAAGTGCTCGGTCTACAGAAGAAAACTGGAGACTCATTCTCTGGAATGGTGGAAGAAGCTAGGAATTGTCATAGAATTATAGGAATGGCGGAAGAGGCAAAACATCAAACAGATGGCGGGCTGTAGCTTGTAGAGCATGGCTGCAATTTTTATCATAGAATTATTGTACTGTAGTAGTTACTGCACTTGCAAGCATTCAAATATGGGCTTCAAATTCACTATTCTATTCTACTTCAAATTTTCATTTAGACAGTCGATCAAAATTTGGGCTTTTCTAATACAAGTGGGGTTCCCTTAGACTATAATAAGATGGAACAAAAATCTCCAAACAGAACCAGTCTACTTCTTTTATTGTCTAATTCAAACTTAACAACAAATATTAGCAAGTACATATGAACATATACAAAAGGATCATGAAAGCTACATACCTCATTTGGGCTTGTTCTCTCATCAAAATCAACTAATTCAGACTTGCATGATATAAGTCTTCCTGGGTGTGGGTAGGGCCTCGACCTTGAGAGCTTGAAACTAATGGTGGGTCTCTCTCTTGCCCAGAAAGATTGAATCTTCAAAGTCCTTTCATGACAACTTTTTACTAAAACATGACAAACGATTGAAATTGAACCCAACACGGAAACCCCCATTCTCAAATCTTCCAAACGTCTTGAGGATTGATTTGCCCAAACTTATGGCCAAATTCCAAGTGGGTATGTGTCATTAACTCAAATTATCACCATTGGCAAATAGAAAATTGGTATAAAGCGAACAAAATTGTACTTTGCGCAACAAACTTATTTCGTCGCGCAAAGTGTTTTTTGTAGTAGTGACATCCATTACAACCATTTAGAGATCTTTCCAAATTCAACCTCTGTCATTATATACAATCTAATTAAAACAGTTTCCATATTGATTCCTACCTTAATATACAAAATGCAATAATGGCTTAGTTGGGGGTATTTTTGGAATCTTAAAAGTACAATAAATCAGATTTTATACTTAATTAGGTAACTTGATTAGTTGGATCCTAGTCATGGGTTTTTACTTATACAAATTGGGTATTATTTATAGGAACAAAAAGTGAAGGGTTGCAGGTATGGCAAATTGAATTCGAATGATGTAAGCCAAATTTACTATCATTAATTTAAAAAATAAAGATTGTTTTGATTAATTTTTAAATTCACGTATCCACCTCAGCAAAAAAAGCCACGTCGAACCAACCACGTAAGCACTTAACGCCTCCACTAGCGGTCTAACTAACAGAGTGACTAATATGGGCCTCATTTTCATTTCTAGCCTAGGGCTACCCAAAAGTTAGGGCAAACCGTGCACCTGCATTTACCTCTCTCTCTCTCTCTCTCTCTCTCTCTCTCTTTTAGTTTTTCCAAAATTCACTCGTCTTCTCTCTCTTTCTCTATCCAAATGCTCCAAACCCATTAACTCCACCATCCAGCCTTCAATCTCGACCAAAAAATCAAATCACCTACAATCTCCCGGCCCTTCCTTTCATATCTCTATTTTTAAGGAATTTTTAATCGTGTTTTTCCTTCAAACAGTAAAAGTTTCTAGTAGTTTCTTTATGCATCACCAAACATTAATTCCCTAACCACCCTTTCTCTTTCTTCTTCCACTTCAAACCCTAAAAAATAAAACCAAAGGAAGAAAGGCTATATGAATTATGAAAAAGTTATCCCATCCAAGTATCTGTAATGCTTGTTATGTTCTCTTTATTCTTGGGTTAGCCTATCAACAAAAACCATAGTACCTGCATTTGCCTGAAAGTCATGGTACAAAACTTTCCATTGGGAAAATACTCCTATTGCATATCAGCCTGTTTAAACGCTTTGGTTAGAATTTGTCTTGAGTCTGATATTGTATCAGTATCATATGACCAATATGTATATTATTATATTCAACTAGAAAAACGCTTTTGGTTAGGCACCCAGCCCTAAAACGATGATGCAGTTCCGACTTGATTTCTCTTTGTAATGTGATCTATAAAATCATACCCAAGGTGATCACAAATCGCCTAAAGAAGGTCCTACCAAAGATTATAAGCCAACACCAATCGGCCATTGTGGCAGAAAGGCAGATCATAGATAATATTTTGGTGGTGCATGAGATATTACATTCTTTGAAACAGAAGAAGGGGGGGTGAGTTGTGTGAGATGGTGCTGAAGCTTACGATAGAGTGGAGTGGTGTTCTGTAGGTGCTATGTTACGCACCCTTGGCTTTGCCAAGAATTTGTCACTCAATAATGGAATGTATCTCCACAATCACGTACAGTATAATGATAAATGGGGAGGCTACGGGTAACATTGTGTCGTTGAGAGGGCTCCGTCAAGGAGACCCTCTCTCTCCTTTCCTTTTTCTTATTTGTGAGGAGGGATTGACAGTTTTGCTTCGTAAATATGAAGAGGACAGGTTCATCCATGGTTTTCAACTTCAACCCGAGGGGGTGCAGATTTCTCATTTATTATTTGCCAATGACTCGGTCATTTTTTGTAGAGCAGGGGAACATGAGGTATTAAGTGTGTGGCGGGTGTTGAAGTGTTATGAGGATGAGTTGGGGCAATGCATTAATTATGACAAAAGCTCCTTATTCTTTGGTAACAATTGTCCAAGACGACGACGCCAAAAACTGGAAACAATCCTACAAATAAAACAGAAGGAGGAATTTGGAAAATACCTGGGTATAAATGCTGACTTTGGGCAGTCGAAGAAAAAAGTTTTTGAGAATGTGCTGGTCAAGATTTCCCAGCGGTTGTAAGGATAGGCAGAACAATATTTATCTGTAGCCGGGAAGGAAGTGCTTATTAAAGCAGTTGCCATGGCTATGCTTACCTACACTATGTCATGTTTCAAAATCCCCATTGGCCTATGCAAGGAGATTGAGCGAGGAGATTACAAACTTTTGGTGGAAAGGACAAAAGGATACCAAAGGAATACATTGGGTGGCATGGCTTTAGATGACACAACGTAAAACAAATGGAGGATTGGGTTTTTGCGATTTAATTTGTTTTAATCTGGCTATGCTAGCTAAGAGTGGATGGCGATTAGTTCTCCACACCGATTCACTCTTGGGGCGGCTTTTTCATGATAAGTACTACCTAAGAGGAAGCTTTCTATCAGTTGGAACAGTTAGTGGGTCGTCCTGGGGTTGGAAGGGTATTCTGCAAGGCCGTGATGTTATAGTTGCGGGTTTATGATTGAGGGTGGGAAATGGTGACAACATTTAAGTGAGAGGATCCATGGTTACTAATCCTGTATACTTTCAGAACCATCTCACAACATGCTGACATGCTGATATATATGAAGGACCTGATTCACCCGAATACGAAACAATGGAGAGGCGCCAAGGAGGAACATTTGTTTGTGGAGTCGGAAGCCAAGTTGATAAATAGACTGGCGATTAGCCGATGGGGGTGCCCAGACAAGCTCATATGGCATTTCACGAAGCATGGCCTTTTTACTGTTAAGTCAGCTTATGAGGTAGCCCAATATTTACAAAGAAATGGGGAGTTGGGGAGACAAGAGCAGGGTGTTGGAAAAAATGGCTCACCTAAAGGATACAAGGTTGTTTTGGCGCTGAAAGGAGGATTTTGAGACTGCCTAAAAGCGACCGGTCGCAAGGCATTCGCGACCGGTCGTAAGGCATTCGCGACCGGTCGTTTAGAAGCAGTTTCGAAGTCTGGAGCAAAATCGACGAGCGACCGGTCGCCAGTTCTTTGCGACCGGTCGCAGGAAGCACGAGCGACCGATCGCCTGACATTTGCGACCGGTCGTTTAGAAGCAGATTCAAAGTCTGGAGGGAAAACCTCTGGCGACCGGTCGTCCCAGTCGTGCTGTGATGTTTTGCTTACGTATTTTCAACTGTCTTTTCAAGGGCTATCGCTTTCCACAAGTTTGCAGGTGCTTAATGGGTCACTTCTGAGGTAAATGAGGGTTGACTACTTGCTGGATAGTTGGGAGAGCACTCATGGCTAATTGGTTATCTTATTTTGAATGGGTTTAATGGAGGTGGCTGAGTGGGATTGTATTACCTACCTGATCTGACCCTTAGTCTAAGTGGTGACTAAAAGGAAAGAACGTGGAGGACAATCAGATATCCTATCTCTTGTCCATTGGCTTGTGTAGGTAATGGGATGAAGTAAGATAACACAAGGGAGAAAGCATGTTGAACATATGTAGTGGCAAAAGCTGGAAACAAGGTGAGTTTTCTGGTGAGAGTTTCAGAAAAACCAAGGGGAGAGCAAGTGAGTTCTCTAAGTGTATCAAGGTGTTGAGCAAGGGTGTGAGAGAAACAGATTGTGAGGGTAGTGTTCTAAGGGGGTTTCCTTTGTAAACAAAAGTTGTAACCTATCTTCATTAGTGAAATTTCTCAAGGTGATCACCAAAGAGGATATAGGCAATTTGCTGAACCTCTATAAACACTTGTGTCATTTGTGCTTGGTTAATTTCTGTGTGTGTGTGTGTAAGACTCATCCATCATTGAGTTCTTTGTCCAAAGTCCATCAACAACAAGATCTTTAAAGGGCAGTGAGTTAGTCATTTTAATTCACAACATAGGGGGAACCCAATGTTAGGACTAACCACATACCGGTTTGGACTAGTATTTGGAGATTACAGGTACCGACGAAAATTAGAAGCTTCAACTGGAGAGCTTGTTTGAACGCTCTGGCGGTTCGCCAAAATCTTAAACGAAGACATGTTGATCTTGAGGATGTTTGTGCTATCTATGGCTGTGACAGGGAATCTGTAGTACATCTTTTTTTCCACTGCGAGTTCGCAAAGGTATTCTGGTTCACTAGCCCTTTGCAATTAGATACGAGGTTGCCCGATGAAGGGGATTTTCTATCATGTTGGCATATCTTTATTCAAAAATATAAAAAGGAGGACAATGATCAGGATATTTTGCAATGGTTGGCGTTTGGGCTATGGAGGTTATGGAAGAATCGAAATGCTACAATTTTCGAGGGGCATCATATGCATCCACAAGATATTGCTTTCGCATGTCAAAAGCAAATTGTGGAGTTTGTGGCGGTAGGACAAGCAAGTATACTGCTTATACATGATCAACCGAGACCTCCAAAGTGGGACCACAGTGAATTCCAAATCTGGCAAAAATGGGCTAATAACTAGATCAAATTTAATTGCGATGCTGCTTGGAGGCAAGCGCACATGAGGGGTGGAGCAAGATGGGTGGCTTGGGACAGTAATGGCTAGGTGGAAATGGCAGGGGGGTGTGGGGGGTTTTTTGTGCCAGTCGGCTCTGGCTGCAGAAGCGAAAGCAGTACGGGAGGCGATGGCAGCGGGTTTGGAGGCGCGAGTTACCAGGATAATGGTGGAGACAGACTGTAAACAGCTTGTTGCGATGTTGCATGGTATGAAGATGGATACTAGTATTGAAGGCATTATTCATGATATTAAGTTACTAGCTTCTCATGTGGGCCATGCATCTTTTGCTTTTGTGAATCATAGATGCAATGCAGCTGCTCATGGATACTACTATTGAAGGCATTATTCCTGATATTAAGCTACTAGCTTCTCATGTGGGCCATGCATCTTTTGCTTTTGTAAATCATAGATGCAATGCAGCTGCTCATCTGGTAGCAACGCATGTATCTCGTGTGGGTGGGAAGTTTA